ACCAACATTCCATTGCATCATTCTAAGTCTATTTAATAATAATATGCCTTTATAATATCACCTATATCATTCTATTATTCTTACAGTATAAAAAAAATTCTCCAGGATTTTTCATTTCCATGGTTTTTTTTCTAACCACTGATAGAAAAAATCCCATACCTTATAAAATTGTTCATCTTCTTGTTCTCTAATTTCAAATGTCAATTTACTCATTTCAGCACATTCCATTATTTTTCGAATAAACTTCCTCCTGCATTGGTATTTTCTCATCTTTCCAATTTTTTGCAAATACAATTCTACCTACCGTTAGAACATTTACAATCATATATTTCAGATCTCTATTGTATATTTCCGGTATAATTCCCAATAAAAAAATCTCTGGTTTAAGGTCTATGTGTTTTTGTATCATTTTCTTGAACCACGTGTGGATTTTAGTCCAATATATTTTAGCTTCTGTGCAAGTCCACCACATATGGTAATATGAACCCGGTGTCTGATAACACTTCCAACACTTTTTCGATTTGTTCTTGAACATTTTTGCTATTCTCGTCGGGGGTAGATGCCACCTGTAAAACATCCTATACAAATTTTCCTTATATGCTGTTGACATTGTCATATAATTTTGAGACCACAATTTCTGTCACTTCTCTAATTCAATCCCATGTCGAAAAATTTTCCCCCAAGCTATCATAGGTTCTTTAACTTGTTCTTCCTCTAGCTTAACCTCTAGCAAGTGTCCATATAATTTTTTAATTACTTTTTCATCAGTACCTGTCAACATTTTTATCTAATTCAGTCATTTTATCATAAAAACCTTCCATTTTACAATCTTTATCATATCTGGATTGCATTTGCACATATGAAAACCAATTCATCTTTATCCCTTCCTGTTCCAAGTCTTGCATAGATTTAAATTCACCCTCTGCATTCAATATTTCACCATATCTAATTGTTTGTTCCTTTTTGTATATTATTGGATATGAAAAAGCTTCAATAGTTGATAGCCAGACTGGAATTTAATATAATATTGCCTTTTGATCTTCTCCCAATTCAGTAACAAAGTCTCCCGTAAATAGTGTCTTCTAAAATACCCCTGTGTTTTAGTTCCCTTATACCATAAAAAAGCATGCCATCCCAACAGTAATTCATGTCCTTCTGCAGTCAATAATCTAGAGTTCCTTAATGTTATCCCCTCCTTAACCCACATCAAACTTGTTGCCTGGTAATATAATTCCCAGTTAGGTAAGCCCAGCCCTCCTCTTATTCTAGCATCTTGTAACAAATTTAATTTTATTCTTGCTTTCCCCCCCGTCAAATGTACTTCAGCACTATTTTATTTAAATCGTCAAAGTAGTCTTACCCTAATCTAAGTGGAATTGTCTGGAACAAATATAAGATTCTGGATAAAATATTCATTTTGATTGTAGATATTCTCCGTATCATTGATAGTTGTAGATTTTCCCATTTCATCAGATCCATCTCAGTCTGCTGTTAAAGTTTATGGTAATTGTTCTCTTTAAGTGTACTGCATCTTGCGGTTAAATATATCCCCAAATATTTAACCTTATTCGTGACTTGAATCTCCAAGGCTTCCGTCAATTCTTCCTTTTGTCTTGATGCTATATTCTTTGTCAAAATCTTCGTTTTATCTTTGTTTATTTTCAAACCTGCTACTTTTCCATATTCCTCTATTTTTTCTATCAATTTAGGTGCAGTTTCTAATGAATCCGCTAAGATGAAGA